CTGCCCACCAGCCCACTGCTGCCCACCAACCCCTTGCTGCCCACCAGCCCCTTGCTACCCACCAGCCCAAGCCCACTGCTGCCCACCAGCCACTTGCTGCCCACCAGCCCACTGCTGCCCACCAGCCCACTGCTGCCCACCAGCCCACTGCCACCCACCAGCCCACTGCTGCCCACCAGCCCACTGCTGCCCACCACCCACTGTTGCCCACCAGCCCACTGCTGCCCACCCTGCCCACCCTTGGCGCGTTCCCCGAGGGGCTGGCGCGCCGGGGCGGAAGGGCAGCCTACTGTTTGTTGTTGCCGCTTCTGTTGAAATCGTTCCGAGCATCGTCAATAATTTATAGCGCGGTCGAGGAGGTCATCCACTGGGTAGATAGGAGTGAATTGAGGGCTAGTATGGTACGTTATAGGGGGAGGGGTGGACGCGCGCGCAGGCCCTGAGCTGGAGAGGAGCTGGCAACAAAACGGGAACGCTGTTGGTGTGAGGAGCAGGCCGTGTGGCCGCGGCCTCCTAGACTTGTTATTAACTAAACGTGAAATTATAATCACAAGCTGACACTTTAATAGGGCGGGCGGGCGGGGTGCAGTGTGAAGAAAGAGGCGGAGCGTGTCGGAGGGGTTGCAGAGAGGCGCGTAGGGTTTCTTGCGGTGACGGGTCGGGGGGTCGGATGGCCTCTTTGCATAAGGGCGCTGTGTACGCTGTACGCGGGCGGGCGGGGGTTGGCCCTTTATTACGGCATGAAATACATCCACGGCGGCAGTTGAGATGTCTATTCCGAAAAGTGCATGTTGCTGTTTATGAGTATACCGTGTCAACAATGACAATCCGGGAATAAAGCTGTGCGTTTTGTTGGGTACAGTACCGCCGTGTTTGGCAGTGTTCGGGTATGGTGCCCAGATCAGGGGTGCTAAGAACCGCCGACGAAAGTCACACAACAAGTAACCTCATACAACCCCTTCCCTCCCCACTCCAATCCTCTTCGAACAGACTCCCCCCCCCCCCCCCCCACCTTTTCCCCTAAAGACAGCGGGGGCCTTGGAGGCACAGCAGCGCACCCTGCAAACCCATCGAGCTAGGCCTCGAGCCTTCAATCGACCTTACCCTAACACGCCTTCGCTCGCGCGCGCGCGCACACACACACACACACACACACACACACACACACACACACACACACACACACACACACGAGCGCCTTCACCGCGATCTTTCTAGGCAATTTCCCCCTATCAATGTGAATTACGGCTTTCTTTGTGTCCGCCCGACTGGGTGCACGGCAGGCGAGCGCGGGCGGGCCGACCCCAGACAGGCACACGAGGAGCCCGCTCCCGCGAGCGGCGGACCCTCCCGACAGGACGCCACCAAGCAGGCCAACAAGACCCCGATCCGCTTTTCTCTCTCGCATACAAATTGTTGTTTTCTGACAGGATACGCGTCCTCCTTGTACTGTCTCCTACCGCTTGTAGTAATAGTAGCCGAGCCGCATTCACAAGGAGCGGACCAGCCGACCAGCCGGGCTGCAAGCCATCGCCTCGCACTACTACTCTGCAAATCAAACTGTAGGATAGAACAAGATGTCAGTTTTAACTGAAGACTAAAGAGGGCTTCACTTTAAACAGCGATTTTCTAACTATGAACAAAAATTTCATTTTAGACCACGCCATCTTCTTTCTCTTAAAATTCTCTTTAAAACAAGCCTCCATGGGATAGGGGTGCGATCTATATTGAAACAGGTATGCTGACTTTAAAAGATATATTGTCATAAATTCATTTCTTATCTCACGCCTCACCTAATGGCAAAGAACCTCCGCCCAACCGTCAAATTCCAAACCGCGCACCGCAAATATATAAGACTCTACGAATCGTCCACAAAGTACGGTCCGTGTTTCTCAAATTCATTCGTCCGTCAAAGGATAGAAGCTCGGAGCTCGGCGCCTGCGAGACTCAAGGTAGGCCACCTCGCAGTACACACGTGCACAGGACAAGATATTGTCTACGTACCAGGCGCTTTGAGAGCTTGAAAGGGCCAAACTAGGCAGGTTCGTAACGGGGAGAAAATACTTTCTGAATGATTGCATTTGCAGGCCGTAGGAGTAAGCAGGCGTGGAAGCGAGTGGTCATTGTCTCTGAGCGCTGGGTGCACACTAAAATCTTATGAACATTTTTATTCAAACTCTAAATGTCAAGGGACAATAATTTTTATCTGTTGCAAGATGCAATTTTGAATCCTACATATTGACATTTAGAGGGCATGGCTTACTAATGTTATTTTTTAAACAGGGTATCATAAAGAAATTTGTTCATACTGGCGTGTATTAAAAAAATGTGTAACCGGAGCATGTTTACAGACATTAGTCTTCAGAGCAGCAGTAGTGGGCTATGAATAAAAATGTTCATGAGATTTTAGTGTGTATAGGCAACCCGCCCAAACGGACACATCCGGTATACACCACCACAACCACATCCTACCTACGGGGTCGTTGGGTTGTTACAGCCAGCCACGTTGTGAGCCGGCGAGCGGGCGGCCACTTTTCCGATCCATCCACCTCGGCGAACAGCTGTATTCTTCCCCCCTTTTTGCTGTGAGCGGGCCGCAGTGGATCTCGCTGGTCCCACGGCGCTGGGGACACGATAATTCACTTTCGGCCATAAAGGGTCATGTGGCCGGGCCGGAGCCACACCGCGATCTATTATGTGCTCAACTCGCGCCCTGCCCTGCCTTGCCCTGCCCTGCCCTGGCGTGCCCTGCTCCGCTCCCGCAGGCCGAGCACGCGTCGCGGTCCAGCCCGGTAGCGGCCGCGGGCGGAGCAGGCCCCGGCCGTCGACCATCAAAAAAATTGGGTGGTTTCAGTGTTGCACCAATTTATTACAAGTTACACGTTACAGGTGAACACTAAACCCTTATTCATTCTGTTGTGCATAACGTTTGTAGAATTTTATACAGCCATAGTTATGCACAAATAGTAGTGCAGAATTTGCACATAACTATGCATGAAAGGATGAGCATAACTATGGCTGCATGCCAGGCTGCATAATCATTCACAAAAACTGCATAAGGGTTTAGTGTGTGTGGAATTACTCGGGACTGGAACACTTTTAAATGAATTTGGTGTGCGACTGCGAATCGGCAAATGGCGCGGTGAATGGGGGGGAATTCGTGCACCTGTCTCATTCTTTGCCTGGTTGAAATTTGCTGCAGTCACTTCAACCTGTGCATCGGGTATACCGACCCACCTGTCGCGATGCGTGGCGCGGCATGCGGAGGTGCGGGGCGGGGCGGGCCGGGCCGGGCCGGGCCGGGCCGGGCCGGGGCGGGGCGGTGCTGGCTGGGCAGCAGCGGCGGCGGCAGCGGCACGTGCTCTGGGGCCCGCACCGGCGAGTGACCGCTCGCGTGCGCGCCGGCGGCCCGGCGGCCAGCGGCGAGAGGAGGTGGCCAGCGCTGCAATCCACTGGCCACCGCCCAACGCGGGGCGGGCAGCGGGGCCCGGTGCGTGGCGGGGCGGGGTGGGGCGTGGCGGGGCGTGCACTGACCGGCCGCCGCGCTGCTGCTGTGAAGCTAGCCCCGTTGAGCCGGGTCCGCTTGCTCGCTGACCACTCCCGCCCGCCAGATGCAATCACAGCACAGTACTACACTCCACGTCCCTTCTCTTCTCTTCGTCTCCCATTCCGTGGCTTTTGGCTTTCCAACGTTGTCGTTGCTTTTCTCGTTTTCTTTACGCCCTCGCACTTATCCTTCTATTTATTTATCCCCCAGTCCTCCCCCTCCCTCAATCTCCCTGCCCTTCTCTGTTTTCCTACTCCTAAGTCTATGGCTTTATCGAGTTTTAGCTGTGTCGCCTCTCGCAGTGTTCTTGGGAGTGTAGCTCGATAATGAATGGAACGTGCACTCGCGGACTGGCTCACCACCGTGACGCTTGAAATATATTCTTCGCGTCACACACAAGTCGCGTGTAATGCCCCACCTCGGACGAAAATAGTTCGGGAGAGCGGAGAGCCGCTCCCGCTCAATTCTTTTTCCCTCTTTATTTCGCTCTCGCTCTCTCCTTTCACTCGCCTGCGCCAAGAGTGGATTATCACTTTGATGATCGAGATCGGACCCATTCACCCACTATTCTCATAACTTACGCACATAAATTTTAACTGGAATACTTTCGCAGCAACTGATGCTGTCTTAAGGCCAACCTAGTTCAGTCTTCCAGATTTTATGAAGAACAAGTCCCACGGCTAAATCACTTGGATCTTCATTCAGGGTCGTTAATTAACAGAACAGCCGAGAGCTGAGCCAAGAAGGCCCTCCTACATCTCACTGTGACACAGAATCAACCGGCCAAATGAATAGGAATTTAAAGACGCCATCCGTTTCACTGGCTTGATCTGTGGCTGCCGAGACCTGGGGTGGATGGGAGCGATGTGAGGTACCACCACGAAAAATGAATTCACATAATATTCCCCCAATTTGTGGTCGACATAATGTTTCCAAGGGTTGGAATTGCGGAGTATAAGTTACTCCCTAATGTGGCCGTTGTAAAACCAGAGAATGATGCGCCGAGGCTGCGTCGACACTGCGCCATACAACACACAGAGTGCAAAGTGAAATTTTGCATTATTTTAAAAAATGCGATTTTATGAGGTAAACGAGGGCGTTTCGTTTCGTCCCGTCTCGCCTCGACACGGCCACCGCTGATATACTCCCGCCCCGCCTGGCACTGAGGCAAGGTCGCGCCGCAGAAATTCGTCACTTGCCAAGAATGCCGCGGCGAAGTGGCAAACTCTCCCCTCGCCTACCCCTTTCCCTTTCCACCGGCGGCGCCGGCTCCACGTGCATTCGCATACTCGCGCACCTCCCCCGCACGCACGCCCGTGGCGCCCCCTCCCCCCTCCCTCATTACATGTAGAAATCAGGTATTCTATGCAAAAGTGCACAACTTCTCCTCCCAGGAGGTATTATTTTGTGGTGCCTATGCAGTTCATGGCGCTTTTCGCTTCGCGACACCTACCTGAGTAGTTGCTGCTGCCGCTGCCGCTGCCGCAGTAGCGATGCCGCCGCCGCCGCCTGTGGTGCTGCCCGCCGCCGCCGCTGCCGCCGGGCCAGGGACTGCTGCCGGCGTCACTCCGGTAGCTGCTGCTCTTGCTGACGGACGCCGAGGAGGAGGAGGTGTCCAGTAGCAGCCTGCCGCGGTGGTCGTAGAGCTGCACGGCGGGCACCAGCAGCGCGGGCGAGGACGCCGACGTGTGCACCTGCCACTGCCAGGCGCCGGGCTTGCGGAGGCTCAGCTTCAGAACGCGCTGTGGGTCCTCTTCCTGCTCCTCGACCTCGTGCTGCTGCTGCTGCTGATGCTGCTGATGCTGATGGTGGTGGTGGCGGTGCCGCCGCCGGGGCAGCGGACTCGACGAGGAGGACGATGACGGCGCGCAGCGTCGACGCGTTGGGGAGTGAACACCGTTGTGCACCGGCCCTGCAGACACATCCATTATTATTAT